TGTATGTTTGTGCTATCCATTTTCCTCTCAATAAAAAAAAAAAGATTATGAAAAAAAAAAGTACATAAATAATTAAAGCTCACCATTATATTTTTTTACCAAGACTTTATATGTTGTTTGTTTAATCATCTATTACTATCATTGCTTTTTGAGCATATAAAACGTATGCAAGTAATTAAATCTCACCATACTTCATTTTCTTTTTCAGTACTATAGAAATTTTAAACAAAATTGGTATTAAAATATTCAACTAAACTTAGAGCAAAAGTATACTAAAATTTTGGTTTTCACGCAAGTAATTAAATGATGCATAATAGTAGTAGCAACGAATTCGTGCAAAAAATGTTATATAAGTGGACACTAAAGGGACCCTTTATTTATTTATTTATTGTTGGTCAGGAATGTAGACAAAGCTCACCATACGTCTTTTCCCTTTCTAGTAATATACAAGAATTTCAAACAAAATTGGTATTAAAATATTCAATTGAATTTGGAACAAAATTATACTAATTTTTTTTTTGAATTTGTGCAAAAAGTGTTATATATGTGGCCACACAAGGACCCTTTACAATTTTGTTTTTGGTTAGGAGTGTAGACAAATTTTGGAGCAAATTTTTTGGGGAGGAATGTAGAAGAAATTTGGAACGGAACTCATACTAAAATGTTAATCTAAATTTATATTTTCCTAATGGCTAAAAAAGGTCAAATCAATCCAAAGCCAGGCACCATGTTTTTTTTTAATATATATATTAAGCTCAAGCCATGGCAAGACAGGATTATTAGATTATGTTCATTAATGGCAAGCATCTTTCACTAATATTGAGAAATTTGGAACAAAATTTATCTTGGAATTTTTTGTTACGCTATGTTTATTAATACAAAGTAATAGTTTGGAAAAAAGTCATTTAATGACGGGAAAAACTGAAAGAAACAGATAGGAACTAATAAATTTTGCTTTATATATTGTTTGTTTAACCATCTATTGCTATTATTATTTTTGGCTATTTAAAACATACATAAGTAATTAAAGCTCACCATTATTTTTTACCAAAACTTTATATGTTGTTTGTTTAATCATCTATTGCTATTATTACTTTTTGACTATTTAAAATGTACGCAAGTAATTGAAACTCACCATACTTCGTTTTCCTTTTTATCAATATAGAAAAATTTTGAACAAATTGGTATTAAAATGTTCAATTGAATATGAAACAAAATTATACTAAACTTTTATTTTTCCACACAAGTAATTAAATGATGCATAAAAATAGTAACAATGAATTCCTGCAAAAAATGTTATATAAGTGGACACTAAAAGGACCCTTTATTTATTTATTTTGTTTTTGGTCGGGAATGTAGACAAAGCTCAACATACATCTTCTTCTTTTCCAGTAATGTAGAAGAATTTCAAAATTAGTATTAAAATATTCAATTGAATTTAGAACAACATTATACTAATTTTTTTAATTTGTGCAAAAAGTGCTTTATAAGTGGCCACTCAAGGGACCCTTTATTATTATTTTTTTAGCAACGAAGAAATAAATAAATGGTGCATAAAAATAGTAATAGTTAATATATCCAAAGAGCATTAAATAAGTAATCAATCAAGGAAGCTTCTAATTTTTCGCTAATATAGAGGAATTTGGAGCAAATGTATCCTTATTCTTTTTGTTAGATTATTAGATTACGTTCATTAATTGCAAGCATCTTTCACTAATATAGAAAATTTTGGAACAAAATTTATCCTAGAATTTTTCTTTAAGTTATGTTTATTAATACAAAGTAATAGTTAGGAAAAAAGCCATTTAAGGAAGGGAAAAACTTGGAGAAACAGGTAGGAAATAATAAATTTGCTTTATATGTTGTTTGTTTAATCATCTATTGCTATTATTATTTTTTCACTATTTAAAATGTATATAAGTAATTAAAGCTCACCATTATTTTTTACCAAGACTTTATATGTTGTTTGTTTAGTCATCTATTACTATTATTACTTTTTGACTATTTAAAATGTATGCAAGTAATCAAAGCTGACCATACTTCATTTTCTTTTTTCGTAATATAGAAAAATTTTGAATAAAATTGGTATTAAAAATATTCAATTGAACTTAGAACAAAATTATAATAAAATTTTGTTTTTTCATGCAAGTAATTAAATGATGCATAAAAGTAGTAGCAATGAATTCATGCAAAATGTGTTGTATAAGTGGACACTAAAGGGACACTTTATTTATTTATGTATTTATTGTTGGTCAGGAGTGTAGACAAAGCTCACCATACATCTTTTCCTTTTCAAGTAATGTAGAAGAATTTCGAACAAAATTGGTATTAAAATATTCAATTGAATTTGGAACAAAATTATACTGAAATTTGTTTTGAATTCGAGCAAAAAGTGTTGTAGAAATGGCCACACAAGGACCTTTTGTATTTTTTTTTTTGGTTAGGAGTGTAGAGAAAATTTGGAGTAGGCTTTTTGGTGACTAATTTAGAAGAAATTTGAAGCGGAACTCATACTAAAATGTTAATCTAAATTTATATTTTCCTAATGGCTAAAAAAGGTAGTATCAGTCCAAAACCAGGCACCATTTTTTTTTTTTTTTTTAATGTTAGGCTCAAGCCATGGCAAAACAGGAACAAATTGTGGCTCATCATGGCAAAACCAAAATAAATTGTGGCTTGGGAGCATTAAAAAACTACATGCAGCACCAGGTTGAAACACCAAATGGGAGATGGGAAAAAACAAAAGAAAGAAGCAGGCAGCAAGGGAAACCTCCCGCCGAAATTGCCTCTAAGGCTGCACAAAATCACCAAAGAACCGGCAGAACACCAGAGGACGCCACTTCTACTGTTCCTCAGCGTTTGGCGCTTTTAATAGGTAGGATAGTGCACTTTTACGTAAATGTGTTGTATTAGAAAACTTTTTTTCATGTCTTTTGGAGTATGCTAAGGCATGGATGAAGTAAAATAACAATACCCAACCACACCTAAATCATACTTGCCTTAACTCCATCATAATTATCATATTCGGAAACAAAACAATATTTAAATTTATTCTTACGAGGTCACTATTGCAGTTTTTTTTCCTCGCTGTAGATTGCAGATGATCACCATGACATTAACAATCACTCAACATACAACATTTAAGGTTTTAAAGTACAATGCCCCATGAACTATAGAACTCCATGACCCACAAGTTACATACGAAACATTTCACACTTATGCCTTTAAATCCAGCAGCAGTAGCCAGGGCAAGAAACTCTGTTTCATATCTCTCAATTCCTTCTTTAGTCACCACTATAAGATCTGTTTGGCAAGTAGCTTTGTCGCGTGCACTATAATCAGGAATCACAGGAAGAATTGCGTCAACAGCTATTACCTTTCCATTGTCTGGTAAAGTCTTGTAACAATTTTTCAGCAACTTCAAGCAATGATCATCATCCCAATCATGAAGTATCCATTACAAAAGTATTGATGGATGTTGTCTGTGAGTATTCCAGACAAAAGGCACTCCTTTTACAAAGCATCATAAGACGATGACAGACTTTATGATCTTGAGAGTTATAGATCACTCTCAACTACTAATATTTCTAATGTGTCATTATCCTATCCCTTAATCTATAAGTATTCACCGGATCTGTAGATACTTTCCTGATTATTTAAAATTCCATATGGTATAGCTAAAGTTAGAGAGAGTGTTATATAATTTGTATGCGTGGTTCAAAGTCGCGGTCGCGGCCCGGACAGTTTCACATCGGTCTCGACATATCAGTCGCGGTCTCGGCGAGATCCGCATTTTTGAAATATTTAATATTCTAAAAATTGTAAAAAATTTGATAAACAAGGATAATTAAAAAATTAGTAAAAATAATGAAAATTCAAGTTGACTCGGGATGATTCGGAGTGATGACTCGGCTGTTTTAACCCTTTGCGGTGACGTCTTGATGAGTCAAGTATTTCAAAATCGTATCGTCCCGGTATCGTATCAGGAGGGACCGAGACGGTAACGACTCGACCGAGTCTTTGAACCATGTGTGTAAGTAACCTTTAAAGTTAAAGCGTCTGTTGCCTAACAACTAAATGTTCATTGATTAAAGTGGTAAAAATAAATGCAACTCAAATAAGAAGTTGGGTAACTTATTAGACTCTGAAGATCTGCATAATATGGTTCAAAAGAGAAGGACTGTACATAATTAGATTGAAAAGATCTGCAGAATATTGTTCAAAGATAGCATTTGTTGTGACTGACTGACTTCTAATAAGATTTCCTTCAAAGTTGAACTTACCTTCATAAAATGGCATCCCCCTGTGGAACACTTTCAAACATGTCTCCTCCAACATGTTCAACTCCTGCAAATTTACCTTATTAAGGGTAGAAGGTAATGGATTACAGATTTAGAAAAAAAAAATCCTATTCTAATGCAGTGGATTATGGAATAAACAATTCTTCTTTTCAAGCAATAGTTTGTGGAAGCCTGTGATTCAGTATAACAGTGTGTCGTACAACATATTGAAACTTCTTTAATTCCAAAAAAAAAAAAAATTATAGAACTCATGATGGTAAGTGTCTTTCTTCCCCAAAACTAACTCATTCGTTTTGCAATTTAACGGAGATTATTTTGAAGTGTCTGCATCTGTTTCTTTATTTGTTCTCACATGCTATCTTGAATTGGTTAATTAAAGGGTAATGAAGCAAAAGAGCAAACATAACTGAGCAACAAATGGAGAAGAGCAAAAATTATACCAGGATAGGCTGGTGCATGTTGTATAACATGTGGCAAATCAAAATTATTACCTTGAGGCTAGGGTATTTAGTTGTGATTATATTGAGGTTCATTCCAAGACCACCACCAACATCTACCAAAGTTTTGAGGTGCTCAAAACCTTTGTACCGTTCAAGCATTCTGTTTATGACGATAGCTGTGTGGTGGATCATTGTCTTGTTGAATACCTCATTGAATCTGGGGTCGCTTCCAAGAAATTCAAAAGCATGTGTACCATGCGCCCTGTGAAACGGATCTCCCCCTTCGCGAACTGCATCTTCTAATTGGTACCTAAATTTTGGGTCCAAAAGCATATTTTATGGAGGCCTTTTTACAAGCCGAATTGTTCTTAAATACATGCAAGGAAGAAAAGCATCCATAGAGTTCACACGTGTACTCACAACGAAAACTATGAACAAAATTTATTCAGTGCTACTTTAATGTTGGCTTGAGTAGTCAGTGCTACTTTAAGTATAATTGTCTATGGATTTGATATTTCACAAAGGAATTATGTGTTACATCCAAAGTAGAGATTTGAGTCGTTTAAGTCCACTATCTTGTGTTGTTCTATCAAAATCCAGTGATCCTGTTTTGGCGATTTTAGAAGAAAATCACTAAAAGTAATCCTTTTGCAGAGGAATTAAGACCATCACTAACAAAATGGCTACGTGCATCGTAGAATTACAACTTGTAGGTTAAGGCATAGTTAGACGCAAAGGAGTGATTTGTTTTTTTTTTATTCCAGACACTGATAATATTTAATGGACTAGGGGCTGGAACAGTTCCTTACCGGTTATGTGTATTTCAACAAGATGTAAATGAATTTGATTACAATGTTAATCATTTTAAACACGGTGTAAGTTCAGTATATATTTTGGTGGGATCCACACATATTGTTGAAAATGATTCCCAAGTCATAATTTCAGCCGTGCATTTTTTTTTTCTTGGCCAATCATGACTGTAATAATTCCTGCCACAAGTTCATTTCTATTCATTTCTAAAAATTAAAATAAAAGAAGAGGGCTCAATGGAGTTTCTTAGGGTAGTGAATCGCTTTTGGACCAGGCACTATGCATCCACAAAGGAGTAATCTCAACTATAGGAGTTTTTGTTTTTATTAAACAGGATAAAAGAAAAGTGAAAATCTCACCGTCAATGAAGACCTTATCTTGAAGCAAGGCCAGCAGGAGCTTAGTGAACCTCCTCCCTTTGTTTTGTTCTGTACAAAGAACTTGGCCCACCGGCGCCAATCCATACACTCTTGTTGGCGTTTGGATAGCATGATCACCATCCACGTCGGTGGCAACGGAGCAGGTGAGCACAGAGTAGCTTGCCAGGAGCCGCAACATCCGATCCAGCATAGCAGCGGCATTTGGGTTTTCTGAAGACACGTTAGCCGCAATTTCTGAAGGCGACAGTTGAGCACCGGGACCAGCTCTGGCGATGATCTCGAACACATTGAGCCGGATGGCAGCAAGCAACATCATGGGCAGCCCTGCGGAGGTAACTAGCTGCATGGCGTACGAGAAGTGCTCCTCCTCCTCTTCTTCTTCTTCTTTTAGTACAACTTGGTTCTTGGTTGTTTCTGCCAAAGAATCCATATTACTACTACACTTCAAAAGATCCCACCGGCCTACTAATTACAGATTCTATTCTACTCTATGTTCACTGAATTGTGGATTCGCCCTGGTAACTGAGCTTTCGCCTTGTACCAGTATTTAAGGAGATGGAGCCTCTCCTGTTCAATTCTACTCTAAGCTTACGTACCATTGGTACAAATGTCCCAGCAGCCCATGTTCCAGGAGAAATTTCTAAAATTATGATGATTTTTAAAAAAATTCTACAAAGGGAGCATTATTATGATGATTTGCTGAATGCGAGGTCTCCCTGAATTTTCCTAGCATCCAAATAAAAAAAAAGAAAAAGAAAAACAGACCTCGCATTTGTCAAATGCGGGGTTCTCGGCCAGGCAACTCAGCTCGCATTTAGCGAGCATTGTGACGAAAGAAGCCCCTGGTCCAGTGAGCGTGATCAAGCTGCAATTTTACATAAAAAGGCTGCTCAAACAATTGACATAAGTTAGAAGCCGTGCGTGTTTCATCATGCCAGTGATGAAACTGGAGCCAAAATTAACTATTTACCATCTTCAAATTATTTTCAAGAACATGAATCTAGATTTTGCCATGATTTTTCTTTTTGCTTCAGTTCTAATGCAGGCCTTCCCTTGCTTTATGATTTCACTGCAAATTATAAAATGATTTACAATTTGCAATGAAAATCTCTACAAATTTTACTACCTAAGGCTGTAAATTCATCAAAATTGAAAAAAAAAGATCCCATAATATTGCCATCGATACTTGATAATAATTTGGGGCAATAAATCTTAACCGAACTAGTATGCTTTCGGCTTTATTGTATCTCACATCCGATAAAAGCGAATTCCTAAAAAATTATATTCAAAATTTTTTTTAATTAGGAGCACACAATCATTTTTGTTTTTGCATTGACATTTATCATAGAGGAATAAATCCTTTTTATTTTAAAACTCACACGAGTTAGAAGTTAACAAATGTGAGGTCTCAGTACAAAATTTTATGTACTAGTAATTATTTGTATATAAATAACCAAAACGTTATATTTCTTATAGATTAAAAGATTTGATAATCAGACGGTTGAAAACACCTAATTTTATTATTAAATAAATTTGTATATTTTCGTAGGTTAAAACGGTTAATTGATGAGTTCTCAATTCCTTTAGTGGCTATTTGTGAGCCTAAGGCGTTACCATGCGACATTCATGTGTTTGGAGCACGGCTCAGGATGGATAGTTGGATGGTGAATAGCCAGAGGTCTATTTGGGTGTTCTTTAAAAACTCTTTTGATTGTGCCTTTGTGGGAGAATCCTCTCAGCATTTGTCGCTTAAAATCACTTCTCAACTTCTATCAGGTCCAATTTATTTTTCTTTTATCCACGCAAAGTGTAATGAGCAGGAGCGATCTTTGCTTTGGTCAGCTTTGTTAGCGGAAAATCTGGCGGAGCACCCTTTGGTCCAATTTATTTTTTGTTGTGTTTTGGATATTTTAAGTGTGTATGTTAAAAACTTTGATAAGTTTTTTGGGGTTCCTGTAGCAAAAGTTGTTAAAAAACTAGTTTTATACAAACTTGGTAAAAAACCAAGCTTCCAAACAGGCCCTCAATTAGAGAGAAAATGGACTAAAAACATGGTGTAAAGTAGCAATGAAAGAGGAAAATGTCAAAGGAAAGAAGTTTCGCAAGAATGACATATTTCAGTATTTTGGTAATAACTTGAGTTACACAAATTGAATTAAGATGATTCTTGATTTAATTTTAAGTTAAGAGAATTATCTACAACTTTTATAGAGACCTCAAAGTTTGGTTCTCACGTTTTCATTGTCAAAAGTCCAAATTACTAAAGTACAGTTGTGCTACAAAGCTCTTATGATCAGGTATCAGTTTTTTAGGCATATCTCAATGTCCAGATCTTCAAATGACATGATTCTTATGGCATGATTAAAGATTTACTGCTATTGGCGTGTCAAACCAACAAAAATAAAATTTCCACTTTAAAAATATAAATTTGAGTGTAGCAGTGAGTAGGGTCGTATCTACAGGAAGTGGGTGATTTATTTCTTTGTAAAGACAATAAATAAATAAATAAAAGGGTTATGAGATTTTAACTAAATAGCTCACTTGAATAAAAATAAAGACAATAGCACAAAATTAAATAATACTAAACCAAGAAAAGGCAATACTCTAGTCAAAGGTCTAATCTCTACTTTAGTTCATTTAACTGATCAACGATGCAAAGGTAAAATAAATTATTCATAAATAAATTGGTTATGGTTATCAACGAGTTTTGATAACCTGCCTCTTCTTACTGTTTTGATAATCACTAGAAGCTCTATGATTATTTCTCTTGTCAATTAAGCAACTCTAAACAAGTTCTTAGGATTTAACCTATTGACAGCATTAATAATTAGAAAAGCTACCAATTCTAACCAACAAACACATAAGCTCGGTTCATTTAAATTAGATTATATATTCCCGTGACATAAATTCAAAAGTTTCTTCTACAATCAAATTATATCACTCGCCACAAATACTAAAACCATCAAACAATTACGGATTTGATATTTTATATGGCAATAGATTATTCCTACAATTAAATAGTGGCCAGTTATTTAATCATATAAAATAATTATAATCATGAATGAATAGGAAATATATAAATACTTATAAATAAATAAAACAAATAAATCAAATTAGATCTCACAGTATTGTTGAACCAAAGATTCAATTATCCTTCAACTAAAAAAGAAACTAGCCGCTCCTCATGGTGGATTCGTAGCCACAAGAAATACTAGCATTTATTGGAGAGAGAAAGAGGAAAAGAAAATCTTCCCCTTCAGCGACGGCTCCCTCCTCTTTCTCGTACTCCTACGAGACTAGTCTAATTCCAAAGGACTAAAGAAAACGTCTCCTAAAAGGAAAAGACTTCCTTTTCTAGTCTTATTCTTACTTAAACTAATAAACTAATAAAAATTCAATAGGCTAATTACTTTCCAAATGGAATGCATCACTCCGTAATTGATCAGAACTTCCAATTTGTGGCTAATGTAGCAATCAAGGACACGACAAGTACAATCCTGTGGGTTCCGTCTTTCACTAGGTGATATCGTGTGCCCACGTCTTATAGAGTATAGTTTTTTGGAAATTTCATATTTAATGCACCTTTTATTCTCTTTTCACCACAACTTCCTAGAAACACCACCAAAAATCAAGCATGAGTAAAATCTATCAATTAACACCATATTTTAGCAAAATAAAGGGGAAATTATTCACAAATTATGTGCGCAATGAGCTATCTAACAAATTCCTCCACACCTAGACAATGCTTGCCCTCAAGCATTCACTACTCAAAAATCATAATTAAGATGGCGAACATGCATAGCGCAGCATACTAGCACACATATATTATATCTCCTCAACAATTTTATCGAAATCAAGATGTACAAGACTTAATAATCCTCACATGGATATTACCGTATACCCTTAGCACTCAAAGTGTTTCAGGGGACATTTAGCACTCGAATCAATATTATGAAAAGACATTACCATAATCTTGCTAATATATCACATTTCCACCACTTAAAATGAATTCAATGCAAAAATCAAAGGGTCTTTATAAGGGTTGTAACGAGGCTTGGGTTAAGGGTTGGATAAAAAGGAAAAATTTTAGGTATAAACATATCAAAGGAAATATCAATAATACTTTGCATGAAGTCAAACTCTTTTTTCATTCACGTGCATAGCTAGCTTCAAGGCATGTTATTAACTTTCCCAAATTTAGCAAGTGCAATTCACAACAAAATTTTTTTCTTTTTTTCTTTTTCTTTTTTTCCCGAATTAAGTAGCCTAGACTACTCACTCGATTTCTTAATGAACTTATACTTTAGTAAGAAACGAATTCAATTGTTAATGATTTCACTCGTTGACCTAGGTATGCGAAACGAAGGTGATCGTAACTGAGAAGTTTGACGTCGATTGCTACTTTTGCTTGACAGGTGAATGTTCCATTACCTGCTACCTGTTATATGAAAAATCTGAAATACTTGATTGATAACTGTTGGGGCGAAACACTGTTTTGATAAAATGGAGACGAGTGTGTACTTTACCGCACTCGATCTCTCTTGTTTTCACTGAAGTTATATATATTGTTATTATGAGATGTGATATCTCTATGAATGCCTATGATTGAGTAGTTGTTTAGGTGATATCCCATCAACTCCTGTTACTGTTTGGATACCCAACCTCATAGGTGAGTTAGTCGTATCGATCCAGCAAGGGTTTGGTCGAGAAGGCCGATAAACCTTGAGGACTGTTTACTATATACTGGAAATCGGTATACTCGAGTATTACCAAACTACTGTTATAGAGTGCGGGCCCGGTAGGGAGTTGATCGGTGGACGGAGACTGGTGAAAGTGGTGTTCTACAGACCCTTTTATACTGTGCATACAAGTGTTGACGGAGTGTCAACAGGAGGCAAATATGATCAAACTCATGTGGATCTTTGACTTTTGAAATCCACCTGTGTCCTTGAATTGAATTGGATCAATTGTTATTCTACTGTATGATACTTCTTTGGTTATTTTGTGACCTTATGTGACTATGTGTTTACTTGTTTTTACCTGGAACCTCATTGTGTTTTAGCTCACCCCATTCCCTTTGTTTTCCTTAACAGATCAGGAAGGGACTTGATCAAGAGCTTTCTTAGCTTTATTTTAGGCGTATTTGCTTTTTGAGGTTGTAACTTTTGATTAAGCAGACTTGTAAGCTTAAATTTTTAAGTATGACTTATGTTATGTAATTTTGAGTGTGGAGTGGTGAGTTGACATGGGATGATACATATACTAATTTGGAACGTTGAAATAGTGATTATGTTTTAAGTAGGGTTTTAATTCCCTGTACTGGAAGATATTCTATCTGATTCATTGATGATATTAGTTATTTGAACGACTGAGTCCTGGCGAGAGTTGGGCAGACAGCTCGCTAATACCCTAGGGTTCGCCCTAGGGAGAGATGAGGCTGTCACAGTTGGTATCAGAGCCTAGGTTGAATTGGCCTGGGCGAGTTAGCAATTTCCGACTTGAGGATTATATTGGATTATTTCCCTTAAGAATACTTATGTTTATTTACACTTTTGTATAGGATGGATGGACATAGTAGCCCTAGTGATTGTCCGACTGGTGAGCAACCTCGTGGCGTACTCCCGATGATTAAGTATCGGATCCGGCCAAGAGGGACCACTATATGTTGGAATCCGGCCAACCGTCATCGGCGTTGCGAGTGCCGCCATACTTATACTTATCCCAATATGGTTGTCTTGGCTGTGATAGAGGAAA